AAGACAACACTGGCCTTTTTATCTAGTGATAAGTGAAACTGACTGCTAACCGGAGGTCGTGGGTTCGACTCCCACCCAGGACAAATATTTGTGTGATGAGCACGATCGTTTGTTCTGTATCTGGGTGTAATTTATCTATAATATGTATGTATTTAGAAATGTATAAGTATATATCTTATAAAATTTATCTGTATTCTGGTTACCATAGCATAGTCTCTGTCTAGTTTGGGATCAGGAGGCTGTGTGTGAGATGTGTGAAAATATTATTATTATAATTCCTTGTACCCTTCTTTATGTAACAAAAATATGGCGTACGGAAGTATTTAATGAATGCTTAATGTTTGTATGTGAGATAAGTAATCGTTAAAATTTTTAAACGTTAAAAATAAAAATAAAAGTTAAAAATTATGTATGAAAAACTACACAACCATAATAGAGGTTCAGTCTATTTTAACGTGTCATGGTACAAAAATCTAAATGGCAATTCAAGTTCTGCTTTTCAATAAAACAAGAACAAAAGTTTGTTTGGATCTTTGTTAATTTCTGATTTAATCCACAACATTGGTCCCATCTCTTTGATCTCAATACCCAAAAAAATAACAATAATGCCAAAGAAGCAACTGGTAAAATCTAGTATTTTAATAAACGCCGTAAAACGGCTAAAAATCTAAATTGCTTCGTCAGCTTGAGATATTCGAAAATCCCAAAGGAATAGAGAGTAATATTGAGAGGTTTTAAAAAGGCGTCCCTCGATATTATAATATTGAATGTTAGTTTAGGCTCTCGAGATGACGGAGGCTGCGTAATGTGTTGCTTCGAAAGATGGCTCTTAATAGGGCGGGAGTGATATTGAGTGTTTTCGTACCTTGTTTTGATTGTATGTAATGGCTAACGGAAAAAAATATTTTACAATTTACCACATCAACAGCCATTAATAATCCACTGCTTTACATAGGACTCTTCTTAGAAAGGAATTTACAATTTATATTTATAGAAAATAAGAAAGAGTCGTAGTCGAATGGTCATTCGTGGGTATCAAAGGCAATAAGTAAGAGTAAAAGATAAAATGTGTGTGAGGGAGAGAAAGAGGAATGAAGTATTTAACGTATACGGCTGATTTAACGAATGCCGTGGAATGCGCAGAATTGGATCCTTTGCTAAAAATAAACATTTCGAGTCGAGCGATCTTTCAGTTACAGAATATGTACACAGTAAAAAGATTTGGGTATTAAGACCTTCTGCCGTTGATCGATGGATATATTTTTATACCGAATTAACACACTTCATTATTGGCAGTGGACAAAGACCTTATATTTTACATTTTTGAATGTCAATAAGAAGAGTTACATCTAAGAATTGGTTCATTTAAAATGGTTTTATATTAGTGTACGGGTTTCATGTCCCTCCAATATAAAGGGAGAATACTCTGACCAGGCATTATCGTGATCATGCTTAGCGAGCCGCAACCTAATCGTTGATGTTAGGAAGTTGTATATTCGTATATACCTATTAATCGGTGCGAGAACTTGTATGCGCGATTCAGGATTAGCAGTCACTCCGTACCTCCAAGGAACAAAGCTTGACTTTTAAAGTTTGATTTTTTTAGGAAAATAAATGTTCTTGAAGCAAAATTGGCAAGAAGACTAAATCTCTTGAAATAATTAAAGTAAAAAGCTCTCGGTGCACAACCCGCCATGTAGCTACAACTGCGAACTATTCAAAATATCTGCTACATATTTCATGAGCTCCACATCCAAATTCCCTTTACGCTCCAACACTCGGCTTATTATAAAGATCTACATTCTCACCGCAAACTACTATTGAAATGCTTTTCACATCTCTAAAATATGACGTGCCTCTCAATATTTATCAATGTTAGCCATTTTTATTAAATTTGTGTTATTAGTGATCAATAAGTTTTTGCCACCACCTAAAATTATACGTAGATAATATATTAAAAATACTGAATACTGTTTTAGATTTAACTTAGCATGATCCAAGATCTAATTTAGGGTTTGGCTTTCTACAATTATGTACATAATTATAGTTATTTGTAGAAGGACTTATGAATTAAATGTAAATTCATGAAAGAGTCAGGTCATCGTTGTGAATGGTCCAAGTCGCCTAAATTAAACTTTCTAAAAGTAAAGGATAAGTCTGAGATGTATATTCATAGCCAGATTGTGCTGGATCTCTTAAGAGCTTAGTTTTAGTGTTTTCGGATTCAAATGATACAGAGGTTTCTTGTAATCAAGACGCAAATGGATCTCGGTCTATTTTATCTTTTTCTTATCCTTAATCAATGCCGCAAATCTGATTACGGCAAATCTGCTTGGCTACCCATTATGTATTTTGTAGAATAGTCACAACTTCAATATAGTATGAACAAATGAAATGATCACTTATTCTGTCACTCTTTAATTTAATGGAATATTATTTTTTTCATGCACGTATTCCTCTTTATCTGAAAGAATGTGATAAGTTATCATACGTCGGGTACTAAAATTATCATATAATGTAATGCTGAAAATGAACAACTCATACATTTCAAATAGTCCTTCTCAGTAGACTAGACCTAGTAGACTATTAAGTGAAAGCTTATTTAAGTAACAGTTTAAAGCTATGTCAATTTATATATAACTGTTTGTACAGAAATAATAAGAGGAAAACGTTTCATTGAAAACTTCCGCCACAGAGTCACGTCAAGCTAAACCAATAAAATATGTTGAAATAAAAGAAAATTAATGTTATTCTAGGAAATTGTGTTATTTTAATTCAGATTCAGTTTTAGAGGCTTTTAAAACTCGTTGAAAATTTTTTACCTTAATAAAACTTAATAATTTAAGTTTTTTTTTAGAAACTGTACTTGAAGTAAAACCTTCTTTTAGCATTTTTCACACACCTGGTGAGTAAAACCTGTAAAAGGGCTTTGACTAATTTTATATAATTGTTTCTATAAATATCGATTAGTTTGCTTAGAACGGTTTAGATAAGAAATACAATAATAAGAAATTATTATACAAAATTGGGTATACATGTATTCAGTACAATGAATGTCAATTTTCGTATTGTTAACTAAAACTTGGGTTGAGTACTGCACTCCTAGACTCCTAGTAATCAGTCTTAGGCTACTGGGCAGCATAAGACTGATTACCATTTTGTGTATTTATGTTTACTATTATTTTTTTTCAATATCCTCCTTTCTAAGGAGAGGCTTATGTCCAGCAGTGGACTATTAAGGCTGTTGATGATAATGATGATGATGTGGTATAGAATTTAAGAATTAAGCACCTTTTATCAAGGTATACGGTTAACTTAGGAATAGCTTAAAAGAAAATTTTATTAGTTTGTAGTTGGTGAAAGAAAACATGAGCGTGGGCTACAAAAATTATCGTTACGCTTACTTTTAAATTGTTAAGCCGTGTCTTACTTTATCTGAATATTTTATTCGTTAAGTTTTCTAATATAATCCTTGGTCTGAGTCCTAAAACAAATTCTCAGATAAATTATACTGATGAATCTAATTACACTGCCTTTGTTTATAATCTTATAAATTGTGTAGTATTAGTAATTTAGTAGACAACGGCTTATAATAATGCTTTGCAAGATTTTCGTTAATGATGACATCATAAAGATTAAAGTAGAACTCACAATATCCAGGGTATTATTTCCAAATAAACTAAAAACCACCAAAAAAACTGGTCTGTTTATTTTTATCACTAATTGCTTTATTATCTAAAAATCTTAATCCCATACAAGATACTAATCTTATTTTGAAATGGAATTTCAAAGAACGATCTCACGATCTATTAATTTATTGTAATTTACCTTTTACGCATCAGTCATTATAACTAACACCTACAGGGGTTAGTGATCCAGACTGATGAGTCAAAGTACGTTGGATCGATTCCTAACCTAATCAAATTATTTTATGATTACTACGTCACCTACTAAGCATACGTCGTTCACTTATAATATGTGAATAAGTTTATCAATGGTTCGATTACCTTCCTATTGATCGGCTATGCCTAGTTTGGGATTGGACGGCCGTATGAGAGGTGTCTCAAATTATTGGTTCCTTAGTTACTACTTACTTAGTACTTAATTTGAGTTCTCTATGAAATTCTGTAGTGATTTTCAGATTTCACCTCGATTTTGACAAATGTTTGTTCAGATATCTCCTATTTTAAAATCTCACCCGCAAACCTAGATTCGGGGCACTTTTGTTACAAAACAGAATTTTTCCTCTGGAAAATCCTGAGAGCAGCAGGTGTAGATGTGAATTCTTTTATATTATATAACATTTTTTTTACATATACATTGGTAAATATGGAAGCTGTACGCGTGAACTTTGATGCCAACTACTATAGTGTGGAAAAAATAATATAGCGAGAAAATAATATTTACATGTTATTAGAATCTTGAAGTCAAAGCTCTCATGTGCGTACGTATATTATGAATATACGAAGCTTATTAAATTTCAGGCACTGTGATATGAAAGTTGAGGAAATTTGTTGACATAAATACGGGAATATAAAAGGGGGATGTTACTGACTGACTTTCGAATTTCGTACTGCGGCTTTTAGCGTTAACAAGTTCCGATCGGCTAAAGTGCAAGTTATCCGATTGTGAAACGAAGCGATTCATATTAAAAAGGCATCTTGCTTTTATTCTGACGAACTGCCTGTTCTACGCTAGGGAAAAAGGTGATTGAAAATAGCGTCCATATTCAGTTTATTCCTGGCAAAGTGAACTTCGATGGCGATGAAAAATTGTAGAAAAAGTAATTTAATATTTTTTTTGGTTCACTTTTATGCCACGGTTTGATGTGATATTGGAGTGCACGAGTGTATGTGTTCATTATTGAGTTGTTTTAAAATCAAATTCAATCTTTAGACAATGCAATTTTTGTACTTATGATGATGATGATGATGATTTAATGCTCAAATATATTTTTTATCTATTTATTTTTAGATGTCAGACGAAATAATTTATTGTACTCACCTCAAGCCTGGTACATCATCTAGCTGCCCACCATCAGGTTGCTGCCAGGCAATCTGGGGTGAGGGAAACCCGTGAGCCGCGCATGAAACTCTGGCGCCCGTTGTGTTGGAGAACACCAGCCGTGGAGGCGGCTCCATCAAGAATACCGGCCCGTGCTCTTGGCCCTCGCCCCCTGAACAAAGTAATACATATTACATTAAACAAATAGTTTTAATTTGATGATTTGATATTGAAAAACGTCAGTTCATTTGTAATGAATATTTTTTCAAGGCGACGTAAAAACAATGAGACACAGACCCGTGGGTTGTTTCAGTATATCTATAATACGAAAAAAATAAAATTATCAATTATACGATATATATCTCTACACCTCTGATCACTGGATCGAAGGTGAACAGATATATATGAGAAATGCACTTCTCAACTAATTCATCATCATCATCATCAACAGCCTATAACAGTCCACTGATGGACAAAGGCCTCTCCTTAAAAAGGAAGTTTTGGCCTACTATACCACGCTGGCCAGACGGGTTGGTATAGGGTTAGTTTCAATTTTTCCTTCTCTTTGCAGTGCTGTTGTCCTGCGTTAGCTCCCTTAGTCGGCTCTTACGACACCCACGGGATGTATAGAGGTGGTGACATTCCGTATTCTTAATCCGTCACCACAACTATTGTACTACTGTAACCATGGGTTTAGCTATGTTACAACAATGTAAAAACATCTTAAACCCAAAGTGTATATAATATGTACAAATAAACTATTAAATAAATTACTGTAAACACCGAAAACAACGCACGTGGTTGTGTTATTTGCGTCTCCGGTAATTCACGGAATGCCACTTCTGTTATTATCATGAAAACCGAGCTTAAATCTATAAATAAAGAACTCACAAATTCCAAAAGCTTTACAAAATAATTTTGATCTCTAGTTATCCAGTTACGATATATATATTTTTCCTTGAGTATTTTTTTAAGTAGTATTTTTTATGTTGATGCCGTTGAAATATCTTGAAATTTCAAGAAATGAATTATTTTGATCATGAAATAATAATTGATGAATTACTTGGCACATTCGGCATACAAAAGTGTTGTTATGTCATTATTTTCCAACTATAATATTTATGTTTTGACAGATAATGTTCTTCAAATTATATGTCAAAAGTTGTTCAAATGACAGTGTAGCTATAACAATAGCCCAAGAACTAACTTCAGGCAATCAACGTAATATGTTTGACCTCATCTTGTTTGTACAAAGCTATTTGCCGTCGAATCAAGACCACCTAATCACTGGCCTGAGTTCTAGAATTACTACTAATTGATTATTCTCGGAGAGTTTGTAACACTGTCTGTGTTTGCTGTTTATACGAGTAATTCCTTTACCTAAAAGCAAGATAGGAGTACCTACATCACGAAATAAATTTTCAATTAAGCTCTTGTTGAAATTATCTTACATTTTGTTTTTTTTTATGGTATAGGGGCAAACGGGTCACCTAATAGTAAGTGTCTACCGTCGCCCATGGATACTTGCAACTCATAAATCACAAAATCATTGCCGCCCTTTGAGTCCTCCCCCCGGGATCAGAGGGAGGAGGAGTTTAGGCTCCGGTAACTTCACTTACTCGGTTAAAATCGACGAAAGAATTGTTTAACACCGGTTTTTTTGAGGCAGTGGTATAACTCCGGTCGAGCCAGCCCATAGTATCACTCTTCCAGTCAATGTAAACATAAAAATACGTCCGAAGATTATTTATGACATAATAGATTTCTCATTCAAAGATCCAGGAATGGGGCAATTAACATTTAGTAAAGAGAATGAGAATATATTCTAAGAAATGGAAACATATTAAAACAATAATTTAATTTCTTTAGATATTATTATAACAATATCGGTAAATATCTAATTACGTTCCGAAAATACGTGCAGACAATAACAAACGTGGGAGATGGTGAAACCCAAATAAAGAATTTTACCAACAAAATAATATTTTAGTGAGTTATAATTATAACCAAACCCAGAGGCTTTCTCGGTTCTCTGGGCTTAGCCGAGATTTGTCAAATTAGACACTGGGTTAACTGCCTTAACCAGGTTACCGCAGAGAGACAGACGGCCCGCTTGATATGTATAATGCGCTATTTGAATTTCAAACTCCATTCTGCCGTAAACTGGATTCAACTAGCGCCACAATGTTATGTTGAAATTAACATAATATTGTCACATAGCTAGATTTGGATTATAGACAGCAAATTGGATTATTGGTCCTTCGAGTAATTGTTTTAAGAAACGATCTTGGAATTTTCTTATAGTATAATATAGCCTAGAACATAATATAGGTATTTTATTATAAACCGAAAATAGAAGGAAAAGCTTGCTTTTTGCAATTTTATTGTCGAGTGGTTAGTGACCATGACTGCTAAGCCAGAGGTCCTGGGTTCAATTCCCACCTAGGACAAATAATTGTGAGATCAACAAGATAATTTTTTTCGGTTTTTGGGTGTAATTAATCTATAATATGTATCTATTTTCCTTGTGGTGACGGATTAAGAATACGGAGTGTCACCACCCCTATTCATCCCGTGGGTGTCGTAAAAGCTGACTAAGGGAAAAAACTGTGCAGAACAACAGCACTGCAGAGAGAAGGAAAACTTGACACAAACTCTATACCAACCCAGACGGGTTGGTATAGAGTTCGTGTGGTGAAGGTTTTGGCCTACTATACCACGCTGGCCGTCTGGCCTGCTTATGTCCAGCAGTGGACTGTTAAAAGCTGTTGATGATGATGATGATGATGATGTATCTTATCTATTTAGGAATATATAGTATATTTTTAGCGGTCTATTTACCACAGTACAAGCTTTGCCTAGTTTGGCAGAAAACTGCTACGCTCATACGTAGCAGTGTGTGTGAATAATAATAATATCTTTATTCATGTATTAAAGATCTTACAATCTAGTGGCTGGGGTCTCCTGTTAAGCAAGGAGAAGCCTGTGTTAGGAGACTCCGCTCCTCCTAATGTTTCACAATAGTGTAAAAGTAGAAAAAAATAAATGAAATATAAATGAAACTGTATTATATAAACCAAACCAACAGAGAGAGGAAAGCTCGTTGAGCTATTCATAGGATACCTACAATATTAACCCACTACAGTTTACCCACCCACATATATTTTACACTCATACACATTACATACACACATATGTACACACACATATTATTATTTTTAGTCTTATCCTGCAAGTCTTTAAGTTGGTAGGTTAGTATTATTTTGTAAAAGTTTATGGCAAATAATTAATTAAGTAATGAGTGTATAAAATGTGTGCAACGTGGATTTTTGATGTAAGTGATAACGTGGTGTTATTAATGTTTTGAAAAAAAAAGCAAAAAAAACTGAACATGTGATAAATCAAAGCATTAAGGTCATATACAGTAGTGCGCCTTTCCAGAGTTTAAAAACTCTAAAAGCTAAAGATTTACAATTAAAACAGTCTTTATTAAAGTTGCAACACTGTAACACAATAATAAAAAAACAAATCCAAAACGACCTATAAAAGAAAACAAACGTCCAGGACACATTTTCAGTCACAATTTCACGTTACAAAAAATATGAGCCACGTCCTCCTCCCTTTATATTTGACTGCACATAAATATGCAATTTCCAAGGCGACGCGACTCGACTAAATTCACAAACGGTACGGATTTGTTGATGTTGAATTATACAATTTCGTTTGCTAGAACAATGTATTAGGGTGCAAGTTTTTATCACTGCTAGCCGTACCCTGCCATGCTTTGCTGTGGTAAATGGTGGTTGCATTGATGGGAAATGAAGAACATACCCGACGCGAAAAATAGATTTAAAATTTGAGTTCAGTTCAGAACTGTTTGAGTTTTTGAAGCGTACACATACCAATTCAACATTTTTATACTATTATATATAGAAGAGTTACAGAAAACTTCTGATTAAAGGATTTTCAGGAAAATGATAAGACATCAAATTAATATTTTTTTATCATTACATCGGTATCAATAGAGCTTTTTCGTCGAAGAGTTGGTTAGACGCAATTAAAAGGACAGTGATAGTATAATGTTAAATTAAGGAAATTATAGTTTAGCAAAATGGCGAACCGAATTAAAACCACATCATTTCTATTATTAATTTATTGAAACTGCCGAAACAAGTCATATGAGGCAAACTCTGTCAGATCTACCCGTACTACTACTCTAGGTCTACCCTATTTTTTTTAAATATTTAAATGATTATAAGATATTTCCACCTTTCGTCGCGAATTGAACTTGCTCATAATTTGTCAGCGCCGTCAACTGCGCCCCCAATGGTGCCAATCGCCGACAACGTGGTCGGCGTCTTTAATTTTGATGTGTGATGCTTTGAATTGATGTGATGTCTGTGTGATACTTTGATCCATTTCAGTAAATTTATAACCCTTCAAAATTAGAACAATCTAGTACTAAGAGGACTCGGACTGTTGTACAGTCGGACATATCGAAACCAGAAGAGGTTTCTTGTAGAACTACTAAACCATAAAAAACTTGTAACTAAAAAATTTAATCACTTTAAAAATTCCCTTGATAAATACATTTACTGTAGTTTATACAGTCTATTTACAAAAATACTAATATTTTCCAACCAAACAGTGTGGAAAAGAAATTTTACCGAGCGCATCCCCACCACTAACAAAAACTGTACGAAATTGGAGCTTTTAATACTCTTTATCTTGTCTGTGTCGCAGCTTTGTTTAGTTTTGCAAGCATTCCTGTGATTTCGCTTTGTGTACGTAGTTTTCTGTCACACAAATAATGCACCTAAAATCTTTTAACTTTTTATTTAGAAAAAAATCCCGGTAACGATTCTGAAAATATACAGTTAGCCAACTATGATTTCTTTGTCAACTGGGATTGGATGAGAAAATAAAGAATATTAAAAGTGGGTGTCGTAAGAGTCGACTAAGGGAGAACACTACGCAGAACAACAGCACTGCATAGAGAAGGAAAACTAGACACAAACTCTATACCAACCCGTCTGGCCAGCGTGGTACAGTAGGCCAAAACCTCCTTTGTAAGGAGAGGCCTATGTCCAGCCTTGGACTATTAAAGGCTGTTGATGTGATGTGATGATGTTTATGTTTAAAAACAGTTTTTAATATCGATGCTACCAATACTCATGAAGTTATTGCTTTATAAACTTGAAGCAATTCTATTTATAGTAATTTAGCGAGGCAGAATTTAATGGTTATTTCCACTAATTTCTAGATATTATATTATGTTTTTAACCATTCAGTATTTTTAGGGGAATGTGTATGCATGTATTAATAAATAATGTCATTTTAACTCCCACCGTAGGGATCTCATCTAACAGAGCTTAACTATATGTACATGTGATCTATTTCACACGCGTTTAGATTTTCCGAGGTCGTGTCGTAGAGCTGTGCGACCTTCAATGAATGGTACTGCCAAACTGTTTCACATACTTTCGATCTTGATAATGTTTTTTATGAAAACTTTTCTGACCAACAATAGCAGTGAATAGTAATGCTTACTGTACTGTACAAGTATAAGACCTTAGATTTTCTAGCAACAACTAGTTCTCTGATTCAAAGTGACCGATCCTGACTGCTTTGTCAAAGATCGTGGGTTCAAATCTCACCAGGTTAACGGCAACAGTATGACCCTATTACGTAAGTGATACTAAACATAATAGTTGACTTAATGTAGACGTCTAATATGTTTCTAAATACCTCTTCGTCGATGAATAGTGTATGTATGTAGGTATCTATTAGGACTATGTTTTATGCTCCCCAACAATGTGTAAATCTAATTAAAGCTTTATAAACTTAATTCAATTTCAAATATATATTCATATTGTGACAACATACTAAAACTACCACTTTTAACAAACCCAAACTCGTACTACAAACTATTGTAGTCCTTGTAACTGCTAATGTATTCTATGAGTGATGACAGGCGCAGAAATGGGTTGAGGGGCCGAGTACCTTCGGGACTCTTTGGAGCGGGCACGAAAAAGTTTAGAAACCGAAAAGTGAAACTGGGCATATTTCAGGAGTCCCTTTCAATGTTGGGAAGTGGGCAGTTCTAACAGTAAACATAGGTCGACAGTATACTTTTATTCAAACCTTTACTAAATAATCACTTTGTGAAAACACGAAAGAGATTTTTGTTGTGGAACATTTTAAGTTGTTCGATTTCAACGTGAAATTTAGATGGGATGGTCAAAATTCTATTTATAGCTATTAGTAATATAATATCTTACTGTGAACGGTAATTGATTGTAATTTATTGTACAGTAAATAATTATGAATAAACAGTCCGTGTAGTAATGGATTAAGAATACGGAATGTCACTATCCTAATTCATCCCGTGGGTGTCGTAAGAGCCGACCAAGGGCGCGAAATAACGCAGAACACCAGTACCTCAAAAAGATGGAAAACTTAACACAAACCCTATACCAAACCGTCTGGCCAGCGTGATATAGTAGGCTAAAACTCTATGGAGAGGCCTATGTCCAGCAGTGGACTATTAAAAGCTGTTGATGATGTATAAAATTATTATTACTTAAAATTTGATTATCCCCCATAAGATTGTTTGAGAGTTAAAAGATTTAAAGAAAACAATTAAAATGATGACTTAAGACTTTAAACCATACGCAATTACTGATACTTAAGCGTATACCTAACTAATATACGTATATCAAACTAATACCAGTCATGTTTAGGTGTAGTGGCCCAAGCGTTCACCTTGCCACTTTCTGCTGAGCTCAGTGTAGTGGGTTCGATCTCCACTTGGGAGAACACTTTGTATGATCGTTTCATGTATGTTTGTAAATATTCCTTCGACACTGGATAAATTCCTTGTGCGAGAGTTGTCTTTAAAAAATAATATTTTTTTCTTTCTAGTTTTATATTTGCATTCAGTACACGGTAGTAGCTAGGAGTATGGAACTAACTTAAGATTTAGATTTTCCATTTAGACAAAGAAGGTATTTGACATATTTCAAAAAAAAAAGTTTACGAATGTCATCATTCTAAAATTACAATAATTTCCCTCTGAAAAAGTGGAAAAAAATAATACCAGTAATAACTTAAACGAAGAAAGCAATAAAAAGAAAGAATCCCGCTAGATGT